TCAAGAAAATCAGAATTCTGAAGATTTGTTTGAAATAAGGTTTTGTGTAATTTTAGATCCATTAATAGATACAGTAGATGTGAACTTGAATCAACAAGGTCCTGCAAGCCCAGATAAACAAATAATTACAAATTTAGAAATATTAAATCAAGAAAATTTGAATCAACAAGTCACGAATTTGGATCAATAAGCAATTAATCAACAAATAGATAAAAATGTTGCTTAACATATAATTAATCTTATTTCAAAAGCAGATAAATTTTCTTGGATTTATCATAAATAAGATAAATTAAGGAATTCGATTTCATTTACTTATTATTGTAATTGTCAAGAAGAGTTAAGAAATAAAAAATTACGAATTGATAATATTTTAAATTGACATGATTCAAGTGGTAGAATTGATCATTATGCTTGTGAAGACACAATTCATTTAAATATTAAACGATCATATAATATTGTTGTAGTTAATATACATCATTATCTCCATTCACCACCAGAAGAGTTAGAAGTTTCAACAGAAATTCGAGAATATATTATTAATAATCGTTTATTAACGGTTCCACAACTTTATGAAAATATTAAACAAGAAAAATTAAATAGATTTTCATATCTTACCTGACATCAAGTATATCACTTCTTTAAAAAATGCTCTACAAAGGAATACCAACTTGCTGATAACCAATTAGAATCTGCAGAACTTTATTTAAAAAATCAATCAAATTTCAAGCTTCTTTTTCAAGATGGGCACTTAATCGCTTTTTTAACTCCATTGTTATTAATTTTACCAAGCCACGCTATAAAGACAATTATTGTTAATTCAATGTATGGTACAAATAATTTAAAATTTGAGTTGTTTGCGGTTCTTGGTATTATGGATGGGGCAGGATTTCTCTTGTCATATTTTTTTTAGAATCAAAATATTTATATGAAAAAACTCAAGCGATTACTAAATGGTTTCAGCACTTAAAAAAAGAACATTATAAAAACTATCTACATAAAAGAACAAAATATAAAACTTGATAAATTAATAGATTAAAACATATTTATATAACTCACGTATTAACTAACGAAATACGATATTTACATGCCTAATTTGGTAAATTTATATTTCACAATTTTAAAAGGCTTTTTTATAGTAGCAAGGTAAAGAGTTATGCTAATGCAGCGAGCCATGAGAATAAGATTAGTTGGGAGCAATTTTTGGGTAGGGAAAAATAGCAATCGCATTTTATTTACATATGCTAAACAAAGGTGAAGACTTCTTGAACAAATTAATAATAGAGGTGGGCAATTATATTTTGCGGTAAATATGTTATGAATACTCAAGCACCATTGTATTATATAAACATAATGAATATTATCTATATATTGAAAGCGTGCTTCCATTTAACACAAACTATTTACATGCACTTTTATGTACTGTATGAAACTGCCTTTTGTATACTAACAGAGGTATTTTGGTGGATATACTGTATAGAGTATTTGTGCCCATCAGAAGCAGAGTGACATTTAATCTTAGAGTAAACCACAGTATTATTGCATCAAGATGAGTATTCTGTAAAGTACAAAGCATATGATAAATCGCATTGTTAAGCACCAGATTGTTCTATATAAAGTGTTATTACCTACCATTAACGGTGTATAAGCCCGATCATTTTTGTAGCATACCCTATAGATACTTTTCAGTACCTGCTGTTTTTCCTTCTAAGTGTTCTAAATTCAGAGAAAGAGTAATATTTAATTGATATAAAATGATACTTAGCATCTATTTTTTTTTTTGTATTAATGCGTACCTTATTTGAAATATGAAATAGTATTTAACAAAACTGCAGTACATATTCTTATTGAGACTTCAGTATATAATGTCATATTTCTTAGTGATATGTCATCTGGAAATATGTACTAGGTTGGCGCACTACAGTGCTAGATGGTATTACCGTTTATAATATTAAAGTTTAGAATATACGTGCTGCAGTAAGTATTGTGGGATAAGTTTAAGCCAAAATTTGTGTATTAACCAATAGTAAATAATACCTTGAGTCAAATTAATACCATAAGGCAGTGATTTTCGATATGAAATCATTATATCCAAAAATTAATGCCGAAATACTTCCAACCAAGCAGAAATAGTTCTACGACATGTATACTGAAAGTAATAATACAAAATTGTGGCTATTAATTTAGGCTAAGATATACAGTTTAGATTTTGCTTTGCTTCAAATTGTAGTATCAATTATAGCTTGCGGTTTTATTTCTACCAAAAATCAGTGCCTAAGTATTTTTGTAACTAATTTTTCATACGCTAATACTGAACTGATTAAAACCGCTGGATAATATCTAAAGCTTGAAGCCGGCTTTAGTAAAACTATTTAACGAATCAAACATTATCGCTTTTATGATTTGGTGATTATGTTAAGTGTCGTTTGTTGATCCCTGACTATTCGAAATTTACGCATGTTATTTTTGAATCAATGAATGACTCTCGTAAATTATTAATACAACTACCAGATTTATTATACGACTTATTACGTATTAATTAGCTTTTAATTAATTAAATGTTAATTATGTACTGTATCATACCTATAAAAGTAAAATCATACTAATAATAAAATAAAAAATTTCTTTTTTTCTAATTTTATCGTTATTTTTTTCGTTAATAAAATGGAAACAAAAACATTTACTTTTCTTGCTCGTAAACGAATACTAGAAGTATATTAGTCAAAGGAAAGAATAAACGATGTTTAATGCATACAATTCGTTATAACCAATGCTTAAGAATATTAAATAATCCTAATCTTCCATGAACCAAGACTTAAATATTGGGTCATTCATACCTTTAAATTACTTTATTTTGGAACTTCATTTACTTAAAAATGATAAAAAAATAAATGAAAACACAAATCTGTCATATAGAAACTTTATCAAGTGATTTGCACTGCGCACCAGGAAATCGAACATGGAACCATGGAAAATCATTCCAAAAAAAGGCAAACCAAGATTCCTATCAAATTGCTTGTCAATTTGGATTACTGGAAACTGGTATCCGGTGTTACGATCTGGGGGAGAGCTTTACTAATCTAGAACCAATTTAACTTCGATCGTGAACAATAATGTAATTGGGTTGAATAATTTAAATCATTAAATTAACACACATAATTATAGGATATACGGTTTCTCTTTATTAACACAAATCAATACATCGGATTATTAACCATAATACTAAAACTATGAACCACTGTCCTTCTCTCAGACTAAAACCACACCTATTTATATCTTTAACTCCTTTTGAAGCTTCAATCCTTCGATTGGAGCTTTAAGCGCCCGATTGGAGCTTTAATCACCCAACCGTGCCACAAACTATACCAAAATAAGAAATACATAAAATAATGATAAAATAATGATACTAACTAAAAAGAAAAATTGAGCATAACATTATCCCCCCCTTGGAAGGATGAGCTCCGGCGAATCGTCATCCATTCTTGACACGATTTCAAGATACCTTCGAAGTGTCTCCAAAAATTTTTTTTTTTTTTTTTTTTTTTTTTTTACCACGATCGCCTAAATTATTTCTTTTGAATGGACGTTTCATCAGATCACTAATTCAGTCCTTACCAATACTCCATACTTCAATTACGGGATGATTTATCACGTACAACTTCATGGTTATCGTAAAAGACATCCGTAATTTAATTTTAACCCTTCGATTATCCATCAGCATCCTATTCACGAGATTTTTATTGCAAAAAGGTGGGTCATTACTAATAGTCTTATATTTTACTATTTTTATGTTGTCGTCATTTTCACCAGCATGTTTCTTTACACCAGATAATCCTGTAATGCATGCAACTTTACCCATCCACGTACTACACATTTCTTGAAGATTATTACTGTTCAGGTCACGTTTCTCATTATTCTTAGCTAACTCATTACATGATGTCATATTCTCCCTCCAACTCTTACATTTGCTTATACTAATCTGGGCTTTAAACGATTTGATCTTTATCTTCCACGTTGTACATGCAGTTTCGAGAGCTTCACGACTTCCAGCTAATTTTTTATTCTCTGCAGGATTCAAATCCCAATTAAATGCCATCTTTTCATCTTTAACTATACACATTTCTTTTTGACAATAGATCCCAGGGTTATATTTTTTGTGTGCGTCATCTTCAGAATTTTGCAGGTGCCATTCACAAGCTTTGTATTTGTCAACAACAGGCTTTTGATAATAATCGGGTGCCTTGTGTCTATCCGTTTTGACTCCAATTTCATTTTTATAACAGTGCCCAAGATTATAAGTTCCATTAGCGTTGTCTAAGTCTGAGCAGCAAATTGTTGCTTTATTTTTATCCTTAGTCATATTGACACTATTATAATTACAATGTCCAAGGCTCAATGTTACATTAATACGATCTTTCTCTATAAGCTTTTGGCAATTAATGAATGCCTTGAGTTCATATTTTTCAATTCCAATTCCATTTCGGTAACAATATCCAGGATTGTTCATTCCTATAACATGACCCATTTTTACTAACTTTTGATTATCATCAACTGCCCAATTTTTATCCTTTTTATCATTTAATTTAGCCATCTTTCCTCGATCAAAGATCTTCACGTCACCGCCACTTCCATCATACTTTTTCAAGATCGTTTCACTATTCCGATCATCTACATTTACCGATTTTTGATCTTTCGGTACTTGTTTTATGCCATATTGATAACAACAACCAAGGTTATATGCTCCATTATTGTGATCCATATTAGCAGGCTTTCGACACTTATTGGACACCTGTTGTTCGTCTTTTCCAATACCAATCCCATTCTGGTAGCAATAAAAACTAGGGAAGTAGGTGCTGATATGTTATTGTTATTGGTTGCCTTACGTTCATCTTTTCTAATACTGATTCCACTTTCACAGTCACAATCAAGGCCGAATAAACTTTGAACATCCCACAACGGATCCTCCAGGTCGCTAGTTGCTTCACGTTTATAGGGCGTATCCTTTTTATGATCATTTTTAAGTCTTTTAGTTTCTTGCTTTTGTGCTTTTTTTATTGAGGTTTTCTTCAGAGTTTTATTATCCGAGATTGCCTTTACTATGAAATCAGCGGGCTTCGTCTTCTCTTGTTTCTCACTTTTATCCATGTCCACGTGATCATTTGTTTCACTTCGGGGAGTAATATTTCGTCCAACTCTATCCAAAGGGTGTTCTGCTCTTTTTTGGTCACTTTTATCAGGTGATGGGCGGGGACAATTATTGCTCCTGCTTTCATTACTTGTTATAGCAGAGGCAGCTTCTTGTAACAATAAAACCTCTTGTTCTACAGGGTTCTTTGTTGTTGGGGGTACAGGGTTTACTGCTCGTGGTGTCGGATAAGGCACTACCTGAGGTAACTGTAGAGGTGCAACCACAGAGTTTGAGACTGCATTAAGAGTTGCAGCGAAGCCGCACACAGCCAAATTGCGCGCGATTATTAATTCGCATATGCGTGCCCTTTCTACAGCTTCCAAAGGGTACTTGGCATAAACGTTTGGACGATCGATGACAGATCCGGATGGAGGCCTTGTACGAATATTTCCACTTTTGTACTCTCAGAGTACTGATTCCCGACTCTTGACAAACGATGAAACAACGCCAACATATCGGCGGCATACTGATCCACTTTTTCCATGACACCTTGCTTTCGGGTTAATAACTCCACATTCCACCGGGTCAATATAATCGGAGTAAAATTCGAAAGGAACTGGTGAACGAAGCTTCGATCCTGATCACACCCGTCATCCCAGTATAGAATCCTTGGTTCTCTACTTTTTCGATCTTCCCACCAAAATGCAGCTAGGCCCGTCAAACTGGCACCCACAACAGCCAACTTTCTTGTGCCCACAATCTTATTCACCTCGAAAGCGCTGTTAATCGATTCAAGCCATTCGACCGGGTCTTGATTTCCTCCTGCATATGTCGGGATCTTCACAAAAATCTGTTCCTCAAAATTCATCTGGGATTCTTGTGATTGGGCCAAAATATTCATCACACCTTGGAGCAATTGTTGCAGCTGGTGGCTCGGATTGTTCTTATTTTCCAGACCTTTATTTCCGTTGCAAGGACTTCCATTTTCTTTGACCGCCTTAATATTATTTACCGGATCTAACATGTTTTTTTTTTTTTTTTTTATAACACAGCACGACTTCGGCTTTTGCTCATTCCACGCAATAAAATGTTTTAGTACAGGACAACTTTTGGCTTTTCTTTATCCAATCCACACAATCGGCACCAAATGTTACGATCGGGGGGAGAGCTTTACTAATCTTGAACCAATTTAACTTCGATCGTGAACAATAATGTAATTGGGTTGAATAATTTAAATCATTAAATTAACACACATAATTATAGGATATACGGTTTCTCTTTATTAACACAAATCAATACATCGGATTATTAACCATAATACTAAAACTATGAACCACTGTCCTTCTCTCAGACTAAAACCACACCTATTTATATCTTTAACTCCTTTTGAAGCTTCAATCCTTCGATTGGAGCTTTAAGCGCCCGATTGGAGCTTTAATCACCCAACCGTGCCACAAACTATACCAAAATAAGAAATACATAAAATAATGATAAAATAATGATACTAACTAAAAAGAAAAATTGAGCATAACACAGTCTTTTAACCAGGATGGACCGGACGGACCGATTAACAGCCCTAGTGTAGACTATTTATGCTGATGTTTTGATTACAATTACACCTGATCTTACGATCTGATTATCAAAATAAACACGTAAAAATATTAAATTTACTTTTGATACCAATATTTGGCTTTTTGTAAATCTCTTGTTGTCCCAATTCCATTTCGATAACACTCCGCAACTTTTGACATTCCAATAGGGTTCTCCATTTCTGCAGATCTTTGATAATAAATGAATGCCTTATGTTCATCCTTTTCAACTCCAATTCCATTGGCATAACAAATTCCGAGCAGAAAGATTCCATCCGAATTACCCTTTGCTGTTTTTTGATAATAAGCGAATATCCCATGTGCATCTTTTTCAATTTCAATTTCTTCTCGGTAACAATTTTTAGCACTATTTTTTCTATTTTGACATCTCATTTTTGCAAACTTTTGATAATAAATGAATGCCTTATATTTATTCATTTTAGTTCCAATTCCATTAAGATAACAATATCCAACATTATATGTTCCATTGACGTTCCCCATCTTTGCTGATTTTTTATAATAAATGAATGCTTTACGTTCATCCTTTTCAACTCCGATTCCGTTAAGATAACAATATCCAACACTATATGCTCCTCTAGCATTCCCCATCTCTGCAGACTTTTGGTAATAAATGGCTGCCTTATGTTCATCTTTTTCAACTCCAATTCCATTTCTATAACAATATCCGACCATAGAGGTCCCATTAGAATTACCTATTTCTGCTGATTTATAATAATAAATGAATGCCTTATGCTCATCTTTTTCAACCCATTTACCATAACAATAACAATTTCCAAGAATGATTTGAACCATGGGATCGAATTGATTATCTAAGCAATATTCGATAATATTATCTGGATTTTGCTTCTTTTCTATTAGAAATTGTTCTAAGGTGTCAAAAATTGAAATGAAATCTTTGCCTTTCAATCTTTCTGTATTATAAAGATTATACATTTCTTTAACAACTTCATTAAGAATATCTTGCGATTTGTAATCTTCTAGACACAGTTTAGTAACATCAGTGGATAACTTGATGACATTTAATGGATCGTCAATTTTTTCTGGCTGTTTTACAATAGACATCTTGACGCAATGAAAGATACATACAAGCTTAGCAAATTTGTTAAGGATATGTAAGCGTTGTTAAATTCTGTTTATAGGGTCTTGGGTCTAATTCACTCAGAGTATGCCCCCACTTAGCACTAGCGTACTGTTTTTAGTCCTTCCACCTTAATGACGGTAACCGAAAGGCAGGCCACTTAGTTTATTAATTCGGCAAACAATGTTTTAATTAGACACGCGAACCATACTTGAAACTTTAGGAACGCCGACTTTTATTATATCGATCGGGTGTTAGATTATCCGGTTACACTAGAAATGTGCGAATGCATATTTTTTTGGCTCTGCATTGCATAATGCAACATGCGAAATTATGCAATCATGGTGTTCTAACAAAATCAAGAAACAAGATTCATACCCAATCTTTCTTATCTCTAGACAGTATTTTCAAACCTCATATTAGTTAGCCTGCTTTATATAGATAAGAAATCATTAACTGATGCTACATATCACCTAGTATTACATATGTTATAAAATATATTTTATTAATTTTTGTTGCATTAAAATTTTATAGTAATTTCTATGTGCACTTTTAAATTTTAAAATGTCTACATTACATTATGCGACATTATGTGTAATGCACATAACGCAGAATGCCCATCTCTAGGTTACACGCATTACGTACTCATCATTGATTGGGATGGACAACCATCTTACCCAGGTGCGCCAACAAAATTTTGCTATCACGTGATAGCCGACAAAATTTTTTATGTTCGGGTTAGGGTCTATATAGGTGTTAGAATTTAGTGTTTTCTATAGTAAAATCGCTCAAAGAAAACTTTTTGTTAGTGCACGAAAGGTGGTTATTATGCAAATTTTCAAGGAATAAGCAATTTCTTCAAAATGAACGTTTGTTTTGAATTAGTGTTTCAAGCCATTAGGTTTTTATCGGCTGGCTTAGCCAGCTGGCAAAAAAATCGGCTAAGCAGCTGGCTAATAACTAAAGCCGAATTTTTTATCTTCAGAAATTATTGAATATTTACTTAAATTTTTTTTTCATTCTTGCTCATATTTTATGTTTGACCATTTTCTTTTTGGAACCTATTACTTAATTCTGCCCAGCTGTGGTAGATCTGATGAGTCTAGTAATTATAAGTTGCAATTAACTTTATTGTTTATATTATTAATGAAAGTATTTATAATTGCAGTTTTAGAGTTGTCATTATTTGCTTTTTTGGTTAATTTAATTAAGTGTCCAAGTTTTTTATGAAAAAAGTAGAGAAGGTCAATGTGGGGTGTATCAATGATTGTAACTGCATTTGCAACTGATTTTATTAGGGATAATATAAATAGCAGTATTAATAATAGAATGCTTGATTTTGTGTCAGGTAGTTTTTAAGGTTTTTTGAGTATGTATATTCAATGGGACTCAGGTTTGTTAAGTATTGAAGTTAAATGGTTAGCAAATTTTGTCTACATGTCTCTGTTCATGACTTTATAGTTGAAGATTCTGTGAGAGATACCTATATATCATCAAGATGCCTTATTATATATATTGGAGAATGTTTAGCATAATAAAAGGATTAAATAATTGCTTAAAGTACTTGTTTTACTGTTATTAAGATTATATAATAAGAGAAATTGTATATTAAATTGATTAGTCTATATATAGTTTATTTGACCACTACTTGTATTGTTAGACTAAGTAAAGTGTGTGTTGTCAAAATGTGTATCTAAATTATAGAAGTTAGAGTAATGTAGAAAGTTGATTAACTTAAATCTTAAAGATGAGCAATGGATACTATCTTGTATATTAAAATTACCAAGAATAATTGGATGAAGGTTTTGTTGAACTGCTGATTGAATCTATTTAATGATTATGTCTTGTATATCGCTTCTTTTAGTCATATCTGTAGATAATAGATATACTAATATTATTCGAAGTTTGATATTACTCTTAAAGAATAGATCTAGAGCTAGAGCTTCTCCTGAATAAGCAAGACAATTATGTATATGGGTTTAAGATAATTTTGAATTGTAATGCCAGTTTCTTCAGCTAAGCTATTTGAATTTGCCCAATAGTATGTTAATAAATTGTTGTTGCAATAAGATAGATTAGCTTTATTAAATATTTTAGTCTTAGTAACACTTGCAATAGAAATATTATGGTTTAGACAATAGTTTTGATATACATCTCTTTTTGTAATAGTGTTAAAGCCTCTAATATTATGTGTTGCAATTGTCAAATATAAGTCACAATTTTGATTAGAGTATTAGCTAAATGATGTATATAATATAGATTAGAAGATAAGTATATTTGATTGTGATTTTAGAGGGATATCATAATAATTATAGGTTGATAAAGTATAGTGGTTTGGTAACACATGTTCATGTGGTAAATTTATGTGTGCTTCAGTTTTATCACTATTAACAGTAATAAAACTATAGTTAGCTAGTTGGTTAGCATTATTTTGTTATAGATGTTGTAAAAAGGAGCTGATAGTTTGTGGTTCTCTTAGTAAAAAAAGATGATAATAGGTAAGAAATTTGTTAAAACATATATTCAAATTATAGAAGTTTGATAATATTGGTAATGATTTGGAAAGGTGTTCTTCTATAGTTGTGCTCACCATTTTAAGCTTGGTTCTTATAGCTACAAAGAGTTCCATAGTCTGTTATGTACATTTGGTTTGACTATCTTTATAGTCTTCCATGTAAAAGGACTTGCCTATCTGTCCACTTATATTATTCTTTTCTAAAGATAGCTCATAAGATGTAAAAAACATAATTATTTTAGAAATAGTGGCTGTATTAATATAATCTACAGAAGGAGTTATTAAAAAGGATTGTATAAAAGTATAGAAATCTATAGATTGTTTACACTTATTGGTTGATTACTATTGTCAAGAAATTTTTTTAGTGCAGATCTGTGTAGAATTGCAAAAAAAATAAATAATAAATTAAATAAAAATTTGTGTAAATCTTCAAACCTACCAGCTATAGTTGCAGAAAATTAAATGGAATTCTGTAAAAAATTTCAAATTTAAAAAAATTTCACAAATTTTTTATAAAAGTTCTGCAAAAATCTGTATTTTAACAGGTTTTTGCAGATTTGCATTTATTAATTTTTCTGATGATTGTTGTTTTTAGATATTTCTTCTTGGTTAGGTTCTGTTGAAAGTGTATTAGCATTTTGGTTAGAGTTTTCTGTAATTTAGCTTGAAGATTCATTGGCATCTGTCATAACAGCATCTTTATTGTTAGTTTTTTTAATAAGTTGAGATTTGTAATATCTGCTGTTATGTTAAAATTGTGTTCTTGTTAAAGTAAAGGTTTGGTAATACTATAAGTTAGTTTGGGGTTAAAGAAGATAGATGAATTTTATACCAAATTTTTTCTGAATTATTTCCTCAGCTTGGGGGTAAAAGATTATTTTGTACATGTTTTTGATATCAGCAATAGTGTTTTTCTTATCTTTGTACTTAAGTAAATAAAAATATACAAGAACTTTAGCCAAAAAGTCAGTTTGAATTGGTTTGACTATAATTTTATCTATAGCAACTTGAGGGTGAAAGTCATTAATTCTATTATTAGTGGCAGCAGCTTTTTGATATTCTTTAAAATAGCAATAGAATAGGTATTTTCTTCTAAAGTAATTTTTTTCATCTGTGTTGTTAAGTTTTATATATTCTTCCTCTGCTTGGTCAGCTAAACTACATAGTAGAGGTATAGGAGTAAAAACTTTGAATGAGGCAGAATAGTTATTATCTTTTTGAAATATTGAGTAGTCTAATTGAGGTAAGAGCTGTTTAGATTTTGAGATAAAAATAGAGTTTTTAACTAGAGCTGGATGATGAATAAAAGATTGCTTGAAGTATAGCATATAAATATTTTTAACATTATATTCAGAGTCAGTTGGTAAGGTAGCACAGTTTTTGATCTTGTATTTATGAATATAGAATAATGCTGCTTTAAGATATAGATGCTTGTGTTTATTGAGTGAGTCAATAGAGCTTATAGTAAATTTTTTAGGTGAAGAGATTTGCAGATATGTAATAGTTTAATTGTAATTTAGTGTTAAATGTAATAAGTTTTTGTTTTGTCAATCTTAATAAATTGGAACTTATAGGTTTCAAAAAAATTTTCAACCAAGTATCATACTTGGAGTGGTAACTTTTAAGCAAAGAAATCTTAAAGTCATATAAGAACTATTCTTTGAAGATATTAAATAAAATATTAATATTAAACTTATTATTATTTTATATTTTGAAAAGTGGTTGATTAATGTTGTTCTCACTAATAAAAAAGTGAAGTTTGAAGTAAATTAACTGTATGTTAAGTTTCTCATAAACTTTTTCAGTGTTAATGTTTTATATTTATTATAAAAAATAAGGTAGAGGTAAGCAAAGTTGATTGCAACTTGTTTGTAATTAGCTAAAAAGTATAGTGAAATAGATTCATATAATGCAAAGATTTTAGGATAATTGAGTTTTGTAAATAATATAATAGTAAACTTTTTAAATAAAGAGATGAAGGTTGAGAGTAGTAGTTCAAAAGGGATTGATTTGTCAATAATAAAGTTGTGATTATATATAAGTTTTGTTAAAAAATCTGGTCATTTGCTGACCATAACTTTGATCAGATATATATAATTAAATTTTTATTTGGGTTTGTTATCTTTGGCAGGTTGAGTAACTTTTCTTCAGATAAACATCTATAAGATGAGGTTTGATGAAATCAAATAGTTGATAAGCAATAGAGGAATTAAGTCTAATATTATATTCTATTTCTTTAGTTACTGAATATTCTTCAAACCAGTCTAGATTATTTGTAGTTTTTCTTTGTTTTTGTTTTCCTATGTTTTTAGTATTTAGTTCTTAATGTTGCTGTTGTTCAGTATAGGTTTGATGTTGTTGTTCCTGATTTTATTTTTTTTTTGTTAGTGTTTTTGTTGCTGTTGTTATAATTGTTGTTATTTGTCTTGTTATTGCTATTATTATTGTTTTAAATATTTTTTAGTAAAGATTTTTTTAAAAAGCTGTATTTTGCTTTTTGTAGATATAAAGAAGATTTTTGTGATTATTATAGCAATTTTTTGTTGATAATTAAAAGGTATATTCTGGTAAATAGTTTTAAGCTTATAATTATAAGTTTAGAAACACAAACTCAGTGAATAAGATTTTCTTTAAAGAGACATGCTGTAATATAATTAGATGTGTGGTTTTGTTGTTTATTAGTATAGACACAGTGAATATTTTTGAGTTTGCAGATATAATATATATGATAGTGTTGTGAGTGCTCAATAATTTGACAAAGACCAGGATCTTTTTAGAAGCTAAGAAAAAGTACATGAGTGGTTGAAGATGTGGAAGTTTTGGCTTGTTGTATTTTGGTTATAGGAGAAGAAGGTAGTTCTTCTTATTTATTAAGGGCTTAAGTTGAAATTATTAATCTAGTAGCTACTGATGGTTGTCTGATTTGTGTTGAGTGACATATTTTGTAATGTTGTGATATAAAACTAATATAGAATTTACTACAGAGACATGTCTAGATTGAAGGTTGTAGTAGTACTTGAAAGTAATGTTGTTGTTTTTTAATATCACAATAATCAGGTTTAGTATTAGCTAAGAGAACACGTGTAGCATATGGTTTGTTTTCTAAAATACTTATGCCATAGT